GTCGGCCGATCGGCAGCCGGCCCGAAAGAGCCATCTCGCCCGAGCTGAGGCGAATTGGGTCGCGTTCCCGCCATTGCCTGAAGCAGCACTCCATCCGTTCTCGTCGGCGGTCCAGTTTGTCTCCACGACACTCAAGCCGCTCACTGAGCCCTCGATTGCGTATCCCTCGGGGCCGTTACCCAACCATCTCTCAAGGGCAAACACTCTCCTCTCATCATCCTCATCAGCATCCGCATCATCATTATCATCCGCCCTCAATCACCTTCATTCGGCTTCTCATCTCTCTCATGGAAATTCTAATGGAGCGTTGAAACGTAGTCGCACCACTACTTCCTCCACTCATCCAACATCCATCAGCCGCAAAAGAAGTAAGTCCGACTTCGGCTCGACCAGCTATCGACCTGCAGGCTCAAGCCAGCAACCCCCCATCCATCCAATCATTCGTCCCCTCGTTCCGAGTCGTCAAGCCCAAGACTTTGGCTCCTCCTCATCGTTGGCCCATCTCAATGCGCCCCGCTCGACGCGTCAACGATCCCGGACGCCAGACCCTCATACCCCCGCACTGCTGATTCGGCAGAAACAACGGCTCTCAGAACCGGCGAGGCAAGCCTCAGGCCCGAGGAAGAGCTCGAATTCGTCGCCATACCCGCAGTACATGAGCCCGGCCCTCCGGTCTTCCTCGTCCCTCAAATCCTCCGCCTCGGTCTCCTCCATCGGCACCTTACTGTATCCCTCCAGGTCCAGAGCACATAGTCAGCTGAACCCGATCGTCTCTGGGGTGCAGGACGAGGACTGCCCTGTGGGCCCGGTCCGACGCACCTATCTCGGCGGCGTGGGCGTCTATCTCAATAATCCGCAGGACGAAGAGGACCCTAATAGCATGGATGATGAAGATGACGACTCTCCCGGCGGAAGTCCGGATGGCCTTCAGAAAACTAAACCCCAGCTGACCATCAATGTCGGCTTGTGCAAGAACCCGTCCGAGTCGGCAAAGAGTTCGGCCAATTGGTACAATCGTCTCCTGCTCTCGCCGCTCTCCTCCGCCGGCTCATCGGTCTATAGCTTCATCATGAACGGCTCAAGCCCCTTGGTCCCTTCAGATCATCACCCCGACCATTCTCTCGAGCTCGACCATTCTCCTGCCCATGAGCCCCTCCGACCCGCTCCCTCCGACTCAATCACCGCCACTTCTTCTTGGAAACATTCTTTCCGTCGTCAAAAGTAACCTCCCCCCCCGCCAGTTTGTTCGTTCCGAGATCCGTAACTGTGGCGCCGATCGAAGACCTCACATGTACTCGACCACCACCCCTTTTTTCATTCTTCCTGCTCCGCCCAGATGTCCTCCTATTTATCTCCGCTCATCCACTTGTTTCCCCCCCCCATCGCTTTTCGAGCGTCTTCAACGGTTCACCTTTGCTTGCATCATCCCGCTCCCAGCTCGATCCATTCCCATCTATTTCTGGTTGACTCTAAAATATATCCCTTTGTTCCACAACCCCTTGCATGGTCTCCCATAACTCCCTTAATTTTTCAACTCTTCCAATCTCCAGATTCTTCTTTCTTGTCTCATCTGCCCCCCTACTTATCTCTGTTTTTTTTTTGATACCTTTTGATCATTCCCCCACGCAACCTCCGCTTCGCTTCTTCTTTGCTTAATTTTATAAGACCTATGTATTTTTTCTTTTTTCAAGAATATGTTACATCTACTTTCCCTTTTTTGTATTACTACTACTACTACTAGTAGGGAAAAACAAACATCATAGGATTTTTTTTCAAGGTGGAATGATTTCCAGGTCGTTGGATTAATCAAAGGGGTCTTGTTCTTTATCTTGGTCTTTCATTTCTGTACTCTCTGCCTCCCGTAAGGGACAAGAGACAATTTTTTCTTTTTTTTTTCTTTTTGAAAAGGAATCTATTGGGGAAGTTGTTGTTTTTCCTTGTCATCTTCCACTGCTTGAGCAAGGCTTTCCCATCCCCCCATGAGGGCTGCGAACCCCCCGGATATTCGCGTGCCATATTATTCGACACAACACACAAAGTCTTCCACCGTACAGGGGCACCTCCCTTCGACATCCAACGTTCCAAAAAAGTACGCATTGGGTGCCCTTTTTTTCGTAAAAGCGGGAGGGGGGGTACATAGAATGTGAGGAGCATAGTGGACCAAGAATAATTAAAGCTGGATTAAAGCAAAAAAAAAAACGAAGAGATTTCATCTCTCTTTTGTTTCTTCCTTTCCTATTGGTAAAATTCTACTCCACTCTTTTTGATAAGAAAAAGGGAACCCAAAAACAAAAAAAAAAGAAAATCTGGGCTACGTTGTATGTAGGGTGTTGAGCTGTGTATCTGTATCAGGAGACTATCCTAGCCCAACGATTAAGTTCCTCTCCCGAAAATGGAAACTGTAGATCACTCTGCTTCTGTTTTTTTTTGCATAATGACCTTGATAGCCCGGCCTCTGAGCTCTCTCTCTCTCTCTCTCGACGAGAAAAGAGAAAGCTCATTTATCGGATTTAGATGGACAACCAAACCAGCCTTCTTCAAGCAAGCCGTCGAAAATCTCGCCGGCGCGGACGGCCAAGACGCTGATGAAAATGGAGCGTTGCGGAAAAAAGGATCAAGAAGCGCGTGAGTGATTCCTGTTTTTTTTTTTTGTTTTTTCTTTAGATACAAGACTAGGATATAAGATCGATGGAAGGGGGCGGTTGATTTACCTGAGCAAACTGTCGCTGATTCCGTGGGTTCGTTCGTTACAGCCTTGGAGCCAAACCGTCGGTCTGAACTTCCTAACTGTGCTCTTATTGTTGTTGTTGTTGTTGTTTGTCGAAGGGTCCGCGGGTTCGACAAAGGTCTCAGGGAGTAACAAGCGGTAATTGCGCGCAATGTGCAAGTCGATGGGGGGGTTCTGAGACGAGGGTTCGTCGCGACAAGAGTCGTGTTCGTGTTCATCGGAGAGTCCGCTGGAGACGATATCCGAATTCGTGGGACTGTCGTCCAAGGAATGTTCGGATGAGATGTGGAGCCCCTGCAAGGGAGACTCGAGGGATAAGCCGGGCCAGAGCGAGCGGAGACTGATGTCCGAGCCCGAGCCGGGACACCCCGAAGCTCGTCCAAATAGGATCTCCTTCCAGCTCTGTCTCGAGTATCCGGTGCCCAGGATCACAGCTTCATAGTGCCCTCGCCGAGTCTTTCCCGTCAAGAGGTGCTCCAGAACTACGTCGATCGATCCGTCCCCTCTCGCGCTCACTTCGGCTGCTCTGACATCGGTGTAGTTGACGATGTTGATCTTCACGTCGTCCGGTCGGCCCCAGTCTCTCAATTGTCCCTTCTCCATACCCTGCTCCACTTTTTGTGAGTAGATGATCTCGTGCAACTGGTTTTATACAAGATGAAAATAGCAGGGTTTTTTTTTGAGTTCGTCAGTTAAATAATATGACATGCGATTACAGGAATGAAAACTTTGCTCACAGTGCTGAGAGTTTCGGGGCTGACGACCGCGTAATTAGTCGCGGCTGCCTCCTTCAAGAGGATATCATTGACTCTCTCATGAGCTGGGATCGGTGACTGGGAATTCATTCTAGGTTTAAGTTCTTGGGCGCTAAGGTCGTAGAAGAAATCGGTCGACTGAGGATTGAAGACTTCGTTTGAAAAGGGAGAGTCATCGGAGGGCCGAAGATGACCTTGTTTGATGAGCAAATCGATCTCTGCGGAGGTTTCCAAGCCATGTTCAGATCCAATCAAAGTCTTGAGTCGATTGTAAGTCTCCAGGAGTGTTTCAGCCGCACTTTGACCAGCCCCGATGACTGCCACCTTGATTTTTCTCGGCTCATCTGGATGCGGTTTTGGGCTGCAGGTGGGTTGAGCGGCCGAGGGACGAGAGGTGAAGCCCTCGGAAGAGAGCGCGGAGTGGATGCTGCTGGACGAATTGGATCTATCCAGCGGGGGATCGTAAATCGGCTGTTGACGCGTCCGACCTGGCCGAGGATATGCAGAGGCGGGCCGAATCAGGTTGCTGAGGATATGATCGATGTGTTGTAGGAATGTAGAAGTGTGCAGCACGTAGCACGGTTTCTTGGAGCTCTCAAATCCAATCTCTTGAAATGGTCTGGGTACTCGAGCGGTCCCACCAACAGAAATGACCAAGTTCCGGCAGAGATATTGCTGGATAGAACCATTTGAAGCCTTAGTAGAAGAAACTCGCAGGAATTCGATATCACCCGTTGTGCCTCTGACGCCCTGGACGGAGACGACGCGTTCGCCATAGCACACGTCGATCGAGTTAAGGTTGCTTGGAGGATCGGTCTTGCCACCCGGCGAAGGTGAGGAGGATGAGGAATCCACCCGACGAGCCACCCACGCCAGATAGTCGGCGAACTCCAGCCGAGTCGGCGTAAAGGTGGCTCGGTTGATGAAATCGACAAGTCTGTCGTGGCAGTGTAGATAGTTCAGGAAACTGAGCGGCGAGCATGGGTTGCGTAGGGTCACAAGATCCTTGAGGAACCTGGGTGTGTGGGCGAAAGGCCAAAGAAGACATTTTTAGGAATCGAGCTCAGATTTTCTAGTCAAGTTAAATGGCATAATATATATGATGTGTGTTGATCTAAGGGCAGATCTCAACTTGAGGCTGGACTGTAAATCGCAGCGTGAGTATACATGTATTTATATATGGGCACACATCCATACCATGTGGAAACACGTGGAAAAAGGACTGATTGATAATTTGGGTTCAGAGCATCCTTCCGCCCTATATACGTGCCGGTGCAAGTATCTATGTGTGCACCTTCAGATGCAATGCAATAGTTTTCTTACACTCCGAGAGATTGAGTAGCAAATAAAAAGGGAAACGGTGGAAATCAAGCGGATGAGGAGAGAGATCAAGACCTACGAGATTTGCATTCGGCTTCCGTCAATCTGTGGAATGGAGGGCAAACAGACAAAGGCAACAACAGTACGACTGTCAGAATCAGGATTGTAGTGTGCAACAACACGCTCATCGATTGTGAAGGAGCCCCCAACGGCAACAGCTTGGGATGGACCCGAGCCGTCGAGGAGCCCGCCATGCATCGGCCATTCTGTCGGGTACATAAAAATAAAATAATAGCCATATCTTCAAATGCACGGGAGATGAAGTGTTGGACCGGTGACATCAGATCAGATAAAGCGGGATGATTAGGAATCGATACATAAGCTCGACCCAGAATCTGGGATCTGAACGCATATGGATTTATGTAAATGTGTGGTAACAAGTGCATACATACATAAGCATGTTTTAGAGAACGGCGTCAAGCCTGCGCCGGCTCAATATGATAATAATGGCGTACAGATAGCCGGATAAGTATGTATTTGATAGTTTGGAATGGGAATAATTCATATTCCCGTCGATTCCCGTCGATTCTTTCTACATATCTCCTCTGTATGCAAGTCGCCGATCCCCAAATCGATGGCCCGCTGCTTTGCACATTTTCTTCGATTCATAATACAAGGATGCAATAACGGCGAGGACTGGCAAGATTGGCAGGAGATGATGGCAGACAATTGAAGCAGTCTTGCTGACACTCTGCCGTCCCTTCAATCGACACATGGATCTCTTTATATGTCCATCCGGGCTTCACCAGCTTATGTGTGTATTATATGCGCGGTGAAACTGCCAAAGCGTCGAGGTGAAAACAAAAAAAAAACTTTTGTTTTTTTTTTAAAAAACCGCGAGGCCGCGGGAGGGGCGGAAAGGAAAGGAAAGGAAAGGAACGGATGGGATATTGGTAGCGATAGAGATGGATGAAAGATCCGATTCAAGAATACTGGGAAAGAATGGGAAAAAAAGAGCAAAGCCGACGATCGCCAAAACAAACGGTGGTAGGAAGGAGGGAATAAAGTGAAAGTGAGAGCAGGGCAGACTGACCATCATGCCTGGATGCCAACGAAAGCGATGATTGGAGTCAATAAAGCAAGTCCTGAGATGGCGAGAAAGAGTGGGCTGATCGGCTGAGGGGGTCTTGAGGAGCTGCGGATGGAGGAGAGTGTTATTGAGAGCTTGTTCGGCCAGTCTGACGCTAAGGGATAGGTTAGCAGGCCCAAAGCCAATGCCGATAAGATCGAATGGCTGCAGATCGTTGCAGTTGATCTGCTCATCCTCGGGTGCGCTCTGGTTATGCTTGACGGGTACATCGGGCTTGGGCGACAGAGTCATCTTTGTTGGCTATCAGTTGGATTGTCTACTACTCGCGTTCTGGAGTAGGAAGTTCAAAGTGGAGAGGAGTTGGTGGGTGGGTTCTGTTTTTTTTGGTTTGGGAAGTGTGGAAGGCGATATTTGAGAGATTGATGGATTCAAGCGAGAAGATGATGAGGGGAGAGAGAGAGAGTCTAGACGAGGTGATGAAAGAGTTCTTTTTTTTTGGGGGGGGGGGGGGGATTGGACTGTATGGGACTAGTAGTAGCACCACAGCTCATACAGGATGGGATGGGATGGAGGATGGCGAAAGAGATCGAAGGGAGTTGGACGATCAACCCAGGCTTACTTATAGAAATCCACTGATTTTTAGATTGAAGATTGCTTGAGCAAACCAGATGGAGAGCAAACAAGTCAATCAAAGGAAAGAAGAAGGAAGAAGCCAGCCAACTATTTAGCCGGATCCACTTGGGAAAACACTACTTATGACTAGATCAGTAGCACTCCACCGCTCACACGGCCTGCTGGTGGTACCCTTCTTTTTTTTTTTGGGCGAGTGCAACTTGTTGTGTGTCTGGACACTTTCAAAGTTCTTTAGGACTTGCTTTCACTCTTGATGGCCATGGAAAGCCACGCAATCTGGAAACAGACACTATAACCATCTGATCGAACAATCCCCAACAAGACTCACTTATTTACAACTCAGAAGGGGCTGGCTATGTAGACTATAAGAGTAGGACGGTCCATCCAAGTGCGGTAATTTGGTTGCTTAGTCTTGGGAGACTTTCAAAGCCCAATCATCTTCCCATCTATCAACCTATAAGCCTAGGAAGCTTGTTTTCTCTCCCTCGGATTTCCTTCGCGCGCCGAGAAGCCTGCATTAATTGTTCATCACCATCCAAAAAAAAACATTATATACAATGAGGGTCCATGAAGAAATTGGTACGTATTTACAACTTTGCAAACTGAAAATATATAACAACAGGGCACTGGCTCATTTCGACTGGGACAAGTTCGTGCAAGCTTTGTACACTTGTGATCCATCGATCATGATAATGATGGCCCACTCGCGAGCTGCGCGTTATGAGATCAAAAAGGAGAAGATAGTTATACAAGAGATTCAAATCTATGTAGTAATCCGACTGCTCAATCATCAAGCTAGCGTAGTTTTAAGATGTTTGTTGTTGTTGTTCAACCAAAACTGTTTAGGGTGAATAGTCAGAGTGTTATGTGGGCAAATTACTTGGTGGGGGGGACAGAAAATCAAGCCAATCATTCCAGCCGTCATTATACATATTTAGTCGGTTTAAGTCGATCGTCACTTTGTCGAGGGTAATTGCAAAGTGCACATCTTTACATACAAAAGCATGCCAGATGCTGTCGACGATCATCCAAAACTTATCAAAATGTATGTAAGCAGATCAGGAGCCACAGGATTGGGTGGAACAGCTCGTTGTGGAAGCAGTAACAGTAAGTGGCTCTAAAAAAAAAGCTTGGATGAGGATCTGATCAGCTTTGTGTGTATCTAGAGTAGAACACCCCATTTATCAATCAATCATAACGTGTCCAACGTGAAGATCTTTTTTTGGGGGAGCTGATGATCAATCCAACCCACGTCATCCATTCGAGGTGTCTGGCTCATCAGTCTTTGTGGGTATTTATACATACATATCGTAGTGCGGATCCAGGAAGAGTTTGTTGTGTACATGATTCTTCACCCTTATAAAGCTCCCTTATAAGCGTGCCGGCGGGAATCAAAATCACAATTCTTCATACCATGTAGATAGATCTGCTAGATTGTGCATATTTAGTACATGCCGCAATCTGTATCTGACATTTTTTTTCACCACTATGAACAATATCAGACCTACATAATTGACTAAATTTGACAAATTGTTATGTAACGGATTTATCGAACCCTTTATCTGGAACCCCAGTCTCACGAGCGGAGTGGGCTCGAAAGGGTGTTTAATGTAAATATTACGTCCATGCAGCTGATTTCGACAACAGGTCCGTCCAGAATCAGATGTCCACCAAATCTGCACACCTCAAGAAAAAAATTGCACATAGCAGACCCTTATATAGAGTTCAGACCGCCGGAAGCTCGCCGGAAGTGGGGATCCGGCTTGGAGTAATACGTGCCGTGCTTCTTGGGGTTCAGCCGAAAGTGCAGATTGATGAAGAAAAAAAAAAAACTTTGTCGGTCTTCATTCATGCTGATTGTACCCCTGTCTATGAGTATGACGCCGATGCGAAATAGCTCATCTGAATCATGTTTCTTTTTTTTTTGGGAGGGGGGGGGGGGGGCTAACTGGATCAGTCGATTTGGCGTGGAAAAAGAGCACGCAAAGCGTTCGTTTCAGGGCCCTGTTCCGAAGATCATCCCCGGCTACTATACATATGGTGTAGTGCTTGATGAGTGTCCCGGGGCCGGCGAAGGCTTCTTCTTCTTCTTCCGTAGTACTAGATCTTGGCCAGACGTTTTCTCGATGGATCTGGCAGTTCTAATTCCATTGATTTATCTATCTATCTAGGTATTACAATCTTTATGTGAGATCAAGAAAGAAACACGGTTGGACTCCACTAGTCAATCCATCTTTGCTCCTCTTGCGATTGCACCCACCTACCTACCCAAGTTGCAACATTTCATCATGGGACTCGAGCCTGGACGGTCGCGGAATTCGGATCCAATTTCGATCTATGTACGACTCGGTTACTCGGCCGGTTTCCTTTGTCTGTTTTTTTTTTCTTTCAGAAATCCACAGATTCAATATGACATTGAGCCCACTGGTATGTCATTGAGCATAGTTATTGCAAGGCATGAAGCGGCAGAGCGAGCCTCAATGTCCACAGGCCCGATATTAAGGTGGCAACCCGGTTCCAGATGTGTGCGGCAAATACCGCGTCGGATACCGGCTCAGGAGGGATCCCGCGCCGCCCGGGAGACGCCGCCGATGTTCCGATCCGATAGACAATCACAAGACATTCGACCCCAGCTGCTTGTGGCTGTCTATCCATGTCCGTGAAGAGAGATCCCAACGGCACCTCCGTCTTCTGAGCATCATTTAGGAGGGTTTTTTTTTTAATTGCGTTCGACTGGTATGGACTATAAGCGGTCTAGTTGTCGTCCGATTTCATATTACAATACCAACCATCGCATTATAATCAACTACTGTTTAAATTCTCTGCGGTGAATTCGAAAAACACAAAAATAGGGAAAGTTGGATGAGAGAATCCTGCAAGGAAGAAACTGGATCGTACGGGTATTCACTCGACCAAATATGATGAGTGCAACGATGAGATCTGATGATCAGATGATTGGCAGCGAAGATGTTTTTTTTTGAACACCAACACCGTTGTACCCGTCAAGCAGAAGTCCCAAAGCGCCGCCGACGATGGGCTTACCCGATTGGGAAATCCCTTCAAAGCGGCATCCTGACCATCGTCGGCGGCGCTTTGACTCTGCTTGATGGATATGCCGGGGGTGAGGTGCTCAGAAATGTCGGGCATGATCAGTTCATTGGATATGTTTGAGTGGGTGCAGGCTTCTCATGTTCGCATTCGAGATTTTTTTGGGTGTGTGGTCCCTGTGCAGGGAGGTTCAAAACATGCACTTTCAATGTCGGTAAGATCGCATCTCTGTACATTGTTATTCTCGCCATCCTCGTTGGGAAATCTGACTTGATAACTTGATCGATTCACTGGTGTTGGTGTTCGAGGACATGCTGGAAAAATCAGAGAATCATTATGATCAACATTTGTTTCATGCTGCGTGTTTTGCGTATCATCATGGGCTCTACAACGTAGGTGACTGCAGTTTACAAAGGGCCTTAATAAAAAAACGCGGTTTTTCCGCGTTTTGACGCGGTTTTGATGCGCCGCAGCACACGCGGTTTCCGCTTTTAGACGCGGTTTTTTAATTAATTTTTTACGGCTTATTTTTCGAGTTTTTTCGAAATTTTAAAATTTGTTCCTACACTATGAAAGGTGTAGAATTTAATGGTAAAGTCCATTTTCCATAAAAATGAATTTTGATTATTAATTTTTTTTCCACTTATTTTTCAATTAATTGTTTGCATGCATGTATGTACCTTATTTTTTATGATTTTGTGAAATTTTAAAATTATTTCCTAGGTTTCAATGTGTGTAGAATTTAATGGTGTAATCCAATTTTTTTAAAACTCAACGGTTCATTTTTAATACTGAAATTAGACCCATTTTTTCACTTAATTTTTTACAGGTTAATTCTCATCATTTTTTGACATTTTAAATTTATTTCCCACACTTTAAAACATGTAGAAAATGATGGTAACAACCATTTTTCCCCAAAATGAAAACTATACCTTGAATGCCGCATTTGACACGTTTTTTTAAATTAATTCATCACTTTTTCACTTAATTGTTTGCATACATATGTGTACCTTATTTTCTATGCTTTTTTGAAATTTTAAAGTTTTTTCCTACATTTAAAAGTGTGTAAAATTTAATGGTAACATTCAATTCCCATAAAACTCAACGGTTCATTCTGGATACTGTAATTAGTCATATTTTTCAATTGATTTTTAAGAGCTTAATTTTCATTATTTTTTGACATTTTAAATTTGTTTCCTACACTTTCAAACATGTATAAAATTATGGCAACAATGAATCTTCATCAAAATGAAAACTATGTCTTGAATAATGCCTTTGACGTGTTTCCTGAATTAATTCTTACACACTCAATTATCCTTATTTTTTGGAATTTCAAGCTCATTTCCTACACTTTTAAAGGTTTCAGAATTGATGGCTGTATCCATTTTGCATTCAAATAAAATTTGTATATGGTACAAATTATGCAAGAAACAGGGTACACTCATCTATTAAGATTGAAGCTTGTATTTTGAGTGAAATTGGACTTCACCATTCAATTCTAAACATTTGTAAATGTAGGAAATAAATTTAAAATAAAAAAAAATGCTTAAAATCAGGCCGGTAAAAATCAATCACAAAAACATTAAAAAAAGCCTGTCCACTGCAGTATTCAGTAACAAGCGCTGATTTTTATGTAAAATGGTTGTTACCATCATTTTTATCATGTATTAAAGTGTGGGAAATAAACTTAAAATGTCAAAAAATAGTGAGAAATAACATGTAAAGAATTAATTGAAAAAAGTGTCTAGTTTCAGTATTAAAAATGAACTGTTGAGTTTTAAGAAAATTGGATGTTACCATTAAGTTCTACACACTTTTAAATGTATGAAAAAACTTTAAAACTTCAAAAAAGCATAAAAAATAAGGTACACACATGTATGCAAACAATTAGGTGAAAAAGTGAGGAATTAATTAAAAAAACGTGTCAAATGCAGCATTCAAGGTATAGTTTTCAACTTGGGGAAAAATGGTTGTTACCATCATTTTCTACATGTCTTGAAGTGTGGGAAATAAATTTAAAATGTCAAAAAATGATGAGAATTAAGCTGTAAAAAATTAAGTGAAAAAATGGGTCTAATTTCAGTATTAAAAATGAACCGTTATGTTTTAAAAAAATTGGATTGCACCATTAAATTCTACACACATTGAAACCTAGGAAATAATTTTAAAATTTCACAAAAGCATAAAAAATAAGGTACATACATGCATGCAAACAATTAATTGAAAAATAAGTGGAAAAAAGAATTAATAATCAAAATTCATTTTTATGGAAAATGGAATTTACCATTAAATTCTACACCTTTCATAGTGTAGGAATAAATTTTAAAATTTTGAAAAAACTCGAAAAATAAGCCGTAAAAAATTAATTAAAAAACCGCGTCTAAAAGCGGAAACCGCGTGTGCTGCGGCGCATCAAAACCGCGTCAAAACGCGGAAAAACCGCATTTTTTTATTAAGGCCCTTTACAAAAAGAAAAGTGGACGGAGTAAGAAAAAAATGTTATGTGGCAGGAAGCTTCAGGCTCTGCTTCCTCTGGCTTGAGGCAGGAGATATATATTGGATCGTCAGTTCATAATAGTCAGACGGAATTTTATCACCATTAATTATGGTGGGGAAAGAGGGAGAAACGAAGTGCAGAAGATAACTCAATCCGGCCATACACCACGGGAGCACCTTGACGGGAATCCGGTGAGGGTTTTGCTGGGCAAACCGACCGCCCCCGACCCAGCCAAACCTTCCTGTCTGCCGGTGTCAGTTAGGCAGCTTTGCGGCCAGGAAGGCGGGGAGGTTAAGGTCCCAAACCCCGGAAATCGGGACTCGGGATGGGGTCTTGGTAAACCCCGAAACCCCGGGGGTTTTTAGTAGTGGAGGACTTCCCGTCGATTTAGAACGGGGGCTATTTTCTATTTTTTATTTCTATTTTCTATTTTTTTAGCAAAAAGAAAATGAAAATAGAAAATTTGTCAATTTTTCTAAAATTTGTTCTTCCGCCAAGGTTCTTCTATATTTTAGAAAACCAGCTCCTCTCTACCGTTCATCACCAGACATCCCCACCACAGGACCACATGGATACCCCTGAGTCCAATGCAGAAGCCACAGAGGACCGCCGCCGACGGGACCAGCGCAGGAGGAGAACATATCAAAGCAATCTACAACTGCATGCCAGCAAAAGACGACGTGAAGAAGAGGACTTAATCACGGTCATGTATAGCATGGGTCTTCAAGGTGCTCCAGGGAAATTTCGACAACTCCGGACTTACCTCACTCAATCTGATCTACCTACCTCTACAAACTCTGCTTGGACAACAATGATGAAAGCACAGAATGATTGAGCTTACGTGACAACAATGGGGGTGGATGTAACGACTTTTGAAGATATCTTATCTAGTTTCGAGCCGTTGTGGAACTCTGTCACACTTCCCCGAAACGATGTCAACCTCAACGGAGAGCCACAAGTCGGCCGTCGGTCTCTTAATGCAGCCGGTTGTCTTGATTAGTTTTACACTGGTTATGCTCGACAATGGCAGCATACACCCTTCAGCAAATATTTGGAATCACCCCGGCGGTGTGTTCTCGCTATCTGGATTGGGGACTCGATTGCCTTCTTCAAGTACTCAAGAACCACCCTCAAGCTCGCATTATCTGGCCCTCCACGGAAGAAAGAATTCAGCCTTATGCAGAGACAATCAAAAAGAAATTCCCACTTCTCGAAAATTGCTTTGGTTTCTTGGATGGTCTGAACTTGCCCATTTGTGTGGCTGAGGATGATGAGTAAGTAGTTTTTGAAAAAAAATGATAAATAAATAAAACAGGAAAAATAGTGATACTGATTGTGATCTAAAGTCTTCAAAATGCGTACTACAATGGGTGGACTTGCTCCCATTACTGTAGCTGCATTATTGCTTTCGCTCCTGATGGAACGATCATGTATGCCATATTGAATGCACCGGGTTCATGGCATGATTCTGCAATAGCAGTTCCTCTCTACGAGCGACTCCTCAATCACACCCCCGACGGATATAGAATTATAAGTGACACAGCCTTTCCGCGCAAGAGTCAACGGCTTCAGAGACGAATATTGGCACCGGTCAAGCGAGGAGATCGGCTACCAGAAACCCCCAGATCCTTCTCTCGCATGAAGTTACTCAACGAAGAGGTAGTATTGGCTCGACAGGCAGCGGAGTGGGGTATGCGCTCCTTGCAAGGCTCATTTGCCCGCTTAAAGCTACCGATGCCTGCGGCAGATCACTCTCAACGATTGCGAATCCTTCAAGCCGTCTGCTTTTTACACCAGCTCCGCTGCCGCATGGTTCACATTAACCAGACAGCAACAGTCTATGATGCTGTGTGGGATGAACACCAAGTGCTCTCTCGAAGATTCCATAACTTACTATTCAAGGACATTGAGAAACGATGCCACATCAGTCGTTACTATCAAGGATGGCTCTAGCATTCTTGTCCTTGTTCTTTCTTCTTTTTAATCTATCATTCTTGTCCTCGTTCTTTCTTCTTCTTATTGTTCATCACACAATTTTTTTTGATGTCCTCATCACATTGTTTGATTCAAGTATTGCTTTCTTGTTTTTTTCACAGCAGATTTTATATCGTTCATTTTTTTTTGGATTTTCACAATGCATGATGTAATGCAGTCGTTCTTGTTTCTTTCATGCAGTCGTTATTTTTTTATTTGATAGCTCTTTTTTTCATAGGAGAACAAAATCTTCTTGCAATGTTAAATACACGCTCTTTTGGATCACAGGCACAGTAGTTGACAGGAAAAAGTAAGAGAACCAATGGAGCAGTAAGTGATCCGGTGGAGCACTTGAGCAATACACTCAATCAAGGATGAGGGAAACTGGGATCAGCCTCCAAGGCATCGCTAATGCCGCTGAAGTGGTGTTGACCTTGGGGTTGCTGCTGAGGATGAAAACCGACTTGGTCTGGAGTTAAGCTGGAAGGTTGTTGCTGATTTAAGCTGGTCGGAGCCGCGTGCTGGAGGTTCAAACCGGTCGGTTGTGGCTGGTTCACGCCAGGCGCATTGTTCAAACCGGACGTATTCGCAAGTTGTGGGTTAATACCAGTCGGTGGCTGCTGATGATGATGAGTGGCAAAGACTGGAAGTGATTGCATTGCAAATCCGTGATTGAACATATGCGGATGATGCATTTGACCCCAGGCAGCATTCGGTTGCATATTGGCCCGGAGCTGTAAAACCTCAATCTTTGATTTCAAAGATGTATTCTCGAGTTCAAGTCGGTGCTTTTCCTCCTGTAGCCGAATGACATCCGATTGAATCCCACCGCGCACTCGAGCTAGCTCAGATCGCAAATCTCGGATGGTTGCGTTTGCCTCCATGAGTTGGGCTGAATAGAAAGACGAAAGGGATTGCTCGCGATCCTGCTCCTTCCGGGCATCCATATCGAGGAAGCTATTCAGCCTGCTCTCCAACTGATCGCCAGGTCGGCCTCTGGATCTTCGATTGACACTCATCATTGGGGACGGTCGAGCTGAGCTGGCCTGAGAGTGGGTCCGATGAACGAGAGGGCTTTGATATGTTTGGCCGCGCATTGAATGGGTTTGACTCGGGTTTGGAGAGTCACCCAAATCCTGGTTTGCCAATTGAGTTTGGCTCCATCCAGACAACAGCGTACCGGCGCCTTCCGGTTGACCAGACTCAAGCTCGCCAGTGGTTTCATTCACGTCAACATCGTCGTCATCGCTTGAAAGAACATCAGCGCCTACACCGTTCCTGATCAAACTCAGCATAAAAGGGAATAAGTCGATGTCATCTTGAACCAAACGGAGCAACATACATATCACATACCTTTCATCTCCACTGGAGAGACTCCCCAAGGCACACTTGTTAGCCTTCTCATTGATAAGAGCATCAACACGTTTTGCCTCGCGAATATGTTCTGGGCAGGTTGCGTTGCCAGTGGGCTTTTGGGATTGAGCAAGGCCCTTGAACTTTTGCTTCAAGTTGTCGGCCTCTCGTTCGGGTCGGTTAAGAAGAAGAACTTTGGTGTTTTATTGATCCGCTACCGTACGCCAGTCTTGATTTCCTAACGGGAGAACGCTTTCGACGGCCTCAACTAACAACATACACTCGGCGACATTGTATCCCAGAGAACCTGGCGGCCGACCCCCAGTTTTTTTGCCCGTAGTCGATTTATCATTGTTTTTTTATTCTTCTTCGATCCGCCCTTGTTCGGTTGACTTGATCCGCTCTTGTTCGTTTGAGTTTGAGTATCTACATCAGCAGTTTGGTTCGGATTCGGAGGGTTTTGATTGCCTTGACTGGCCTGAATTTGGGGATCGGAGACCATCATCGTCCTTGGAGGTGAAGAATATATGCGAGTTGGTGGTGGTTGGGTGGATATGGATGTGAGCTAACAAAAATGCAGGAGGGCCACGAATTTAGGAGCACAGCAAAAGCAATTGCATTTTCTATTTGCTAAAAAAATAGAAAATAGAAATAAAAAATAGAAAATAGCCCCCGTTCTAAATCGACGGGAAGTCCTCCAGTAGCAGGATTATTCGATTACTGGCAATTTTGACTTGTTTATCTTGTATTACAAGTTTTTTTTTCCTCTTCTTTGACTTGTTTATCACACATGACAAGCTTTCTTTAAGGGAAAAGAGAGAAAAAAGTAGGCAACAGAAATCGAAACCGGTTAGAAGGGACCATCAAAGGACTGAAACCAGGTCTTCAAGGAAAGCAGACCCTCGATTGTTGCCGGAGACGATCACTGCCATGAGACAACTCGGCGGCCAGTCGGAAAAACACGTTCTGATGCGGCACTTGTCGCAGGGATCGATAGGTATCGCCGGGCCATCAGGGCCAGTTTCGGGGACGACTTCTGTCGGCTTGCCCAATAAGGAAGGACCTCGATGTCCTTAGTTTCGACGTCTTCTTTCAAATAGAGACAAATCTCAGCTTGTATGCCATCGATCTCGGGAGCGGGCTGATACAATGCTGAGACAAAAAAATTGTTCACTGGGGGACAAGAAACCGAAGAAGAGTGCCCCAATGTGCTCGAGGTGGATCACTAGCTATTGGCTTAGGCTAAATCTGCCTCAATAATTTTTTTCAAAAATAGGCTGGGAGCCCCGGGGTTTTGGGGCAAACCCCAACTTTCCGGGGTTTGTTCCTCGGGATGACCCTCTAGCCCTGTCCCAAACCCCGGGACCATGCCTTAGGGGAGGTCAGCGAATCGACCCATGTCTGCCGGGCGGGCAGTGCGTTGGAATGGGTCATCCCGACTGCATATAGGCAATTATCTCAGGGGTCTGAGACCCCCTGAGATTATGGATTCATGTGATTTTTGTTAGAATCCGAGGTACGATCTTTTTATGACAAGAACAATACGTTAGATGACGACTCCGACGACTCTTAGTTTGACCACTCAACACACCTTTTTATGACAAGAACAATACGTTAGATGACGACTCCGACGACTCTTAGTTTGACCACTCAACACACCTGCGGTAATGCAGAATTTATATTTTTATTTATTTTTAATGTTAATGATGGATGGAGGACACGCGCGAGTTTGTAATCAGTCTCTTCTCCACTTTTTAATTGAATAAGCGTGTACATTTTATTATCTGATCATGAGTGAGAAAAATGATGAAGAAAAATAGAAAACAGTTTTTTTTATATGTATAGCGAACCTTTTTATGACAAGAACAATACGTTAGATGACGACTCCGACGACTCTTAGTTTGACCACTCAACACACCTAAATTAAAGAGATATACAGAAAGATAAAGAACAGTTAGGAAAGGAAATTTAACAGTTAAACGCTTATGAGTTAGATAAGATGAGAAAACAATCATACCTGCGGTAATGCAGAATTTATATTTTTATTTATTTTTAATGTTAATGATGGATGGAGGACACGCGCGAGTTTGTAATCTGAGAAAAGAAAGAAAAGAGAAAAAGAGATAAGAGGAAAAGTTTCAGTTTGATTCTATATCGGGAAGTTGAAAGATTTGTGTTTGAGATTTGCTTACCAGTCTCTTCTCCACTTTTTAATTGAATAAGCGTGTGGGGAAAAGACTGGTATCGGGGCGGTTGTAAAAAGTTTTATTGGGTCGGGGGGAATGGTGTGTTAGGTTTGTTTTCGTGACATTCAGATGAGAGTGAGAATTGACATTCTTGCTGCGTATTCATAATGAGATGTTGCGGCGAATAATTCAACAGTCCCCCTCAATTCGAACGGAATCTGTCAATCCGATCATGTTCCTGAATCTGTTGAACGGGTTTTTGCCGAGATTTTTGGTTAGGATGTCTGCAATCATGTTTCCAGTGTATACGTGTTTCATTTTGAATGTTCCCTCCTGAACGTATTCCCAAATCCAATGGTGTTCAATCGCAACATGCTTAACTCTGCCGTGGTGGACAGGGTTTTGAGCAAGATGGATTGCGCTCAAGTTGTTGCATATCATTTCGAGTGGTGTTTGCACCGGAATTTGTAACTCTTTCATTAACTTCATGAGCCACAGAGCTTCTTGTCCTGCTTCTGTAATAGCGCGATACTCTGCTTCGGTTGATGACAGTGCTACCGTTGGTTGTAATCGACTTCTCCAGCTGATGGCGCCTCCCATGAACTTAAACACGTAGCCTGTGGTGGAACGTAGTGTTGATCTGTCTCCGGCCCAGTCAGCATCGCTAGCCATGGTTGGAAAACTCCAGCCCGGGTTTGCGGATAGTGAGTCTTGCCTATTGGATTTGTATCCGATTTTCATGTGTTGTGTGAATTTGAGATACCGTAAGACGTGTAAGAAAGCATCCCAGTGGTGTTGATTGGGTTTTTCTAGGAATCGTGAGAGGACGCCAACGGCAAAACTGATATCGGGTCTAGTGCATATTGCGATATACATCAGGGATCCAACGGCTTTACGATATCGGTTGTTTCTTGCTGTGAAGCGAGTCGATTCTTCGTCGGTTGATTTCATTAGCTTGACGTTGTATCCGAAAGGGGTGCATGCGGGTTTACAATTTTCCATTTCGAACTTGTGTAGGACGTTGTTTATCATCCCCTGTTGATGAAGAAAGTAGTTTCCGATGTCATCGCGTTGTATCTCGATTCCCACAGCGAATTTTGCTACCCCTAAATCTTCCATAGCCCATTTCATTTTGATTTCATTTTTGACTTTAGAAATCTCATCTCCCGTGATGATCATGTCGTCAACATGTAAATAAATGATGCTGATTTTCCCATTCTGATTCCTGAAGAAAACACATGAGTCGGCTTCGGTTTTGGAAAAACCGATATCTTTCAGATATTTCTCCACTTCAAGGTGCCATAATCGTGCGGATTGTTTGAGTCCATATATCGATTTGTGGAGGCGCCAGACGGTGTCCTTTTTACCTTCTTCAAAGCCTTCGGGTTGTTCGAGATAGATTTCCTCGTCTAAGTCACTGTTGAGGAAAGCAGCGACAGCATCCATTTGCTCGATAACCCAGTTGTTTCGTGCTGCAAGTGCAATTACTAGGCGAAGAGAAGATGGTTTTCCGGTTGGCGAGAAAGTTTGGTCGTAATCGACTCCCTCTTCTTGGGTGTATCCTCTGGCAACAAATCGGGCTTTGTACTTCGAAATACTTCCGTCCGGGAGAGTCTTCACTTTGAAAACCCAGCGTCCTTTGATTACTTTGCGATTTTTGGGACGGTTTGTCAGACTATACACCCCTTTGTCTTTCATTCCTTTCACTTCCTTCATACATGCTTCGATCCAACGTGATTTGAATTTGGAGTTTTTGATATCCTTGAAACGTTTTGGTTCGAATTTTGGGTCTTCGTTTTCCAGGACTGGTTCGTTCTTCCTGGTTTCAGAAAGATATGCGCGTTTAGGCTGATTCCCTATTCTGGTAGATCGACGAACATATTCAGGGTGATCCGGGTGGGTGATTGGAGGTTTTGGCGGGATGACTTTGAGAATTCGTGATTGCTGGGGTTGATCGTGATTGACTGGACGGTTCTCCTCGTCTGATTCTGTGGATTCCGACTTGCTATCTTCATCTGGTTTGGGGTTGGATGTATTTGGCTCCTTGACCAGTTCTTCATGTTCTATCTGAAAAGAGTCCTCAACGTCATCTCCCCTTTCAGGGAAATTAGATTCATCGAAACTAACGTCATGCGTGTGAACGAAACGATGACTATCGTAATCAAATACTAAGTAATTTCGGTTGAATTCGTCAAAACCAGCTAGAAAACCTTTTCTAGAAGTCGGGCTGAATTTATTATCCCGTTCTTCTGATCGATTTTGGATGTAGGTCAGACAACCAAAGGTGCGAATATATTTGAGGTTTGGTTTGTGTCCGTACCATAGCTCGTATGCGGATTCAGGGAATTCATTTCGCGATCGATTAAAGACTCTATTCTGAATGAATACGGCTGCGTCACATGCTAGACTCCAGTAGCGGGTAGGTACTCCGCTTCGAATCAATAGTGCACGAGCTTTAGTGGAGATAGTACGCATGAATCGTTCCACCAATCCGTTTTGCTGTGGCGTATAGGGAGCTGTAGTATTTTTAACTATTCCGAGTGAATCACAATATGGAATGAGGATGGAATTAATGAATTCGCCACCACCGTCGGTTGTAATCATTTTGACTTTCTTATCGCAATGTCTCTCGGCGCGCATGATGAAGGAGTTTATTGCCTCAAACACTTCCTCCTTGGTTTTTGTCTTTAAGAAAAATATGAATGTCATTCTTGTGTATTCGTCGACAACTAGCATAAAATATGAGTAGTTAAATATACAAGAAGTTCGGATAATTCCACTGAGGTCTATGTGTATATTATCTAAAGGATTTCGTGTGTATGGCTTAGTTCCGGAGAAAGGGAGTTTGGTGGATTTACTTAGGCGACATGTGTCACATGATTTGTTGGTGTGGTCAACGCTGCCTTCGATCGTCTTTTTGAGGTACACTGGATTGATGTGGCCTAGTCGATTGTGATCTGTGGTGGAAGTGAGCTGGTCAGTTTTATTCTCAGTGTTGTTCGAGTTGGAATTATTGCTGACCGGTTCGATTTGCACCACCATAAGATTGTTAACGTAACGGCCCCGAAGGAAAGTTTCGTCGTCAAAAGCAATGATGAATTTCGAGGGATCATTCGGGTTCGAGACTTCAATAGCACCTTTCTGTTTCAATGCACCGGCGGCGATGAGATTGTTTCGGAGTCCGGGGATATACAAAGAATTTTGTAGGGTGAACTTTTCAATTGTAACTCCTTTTAGAACCACTTCGCCGCTTGCCTCGACTTTCAACTCTTCGGATCCTGCGGTCATGATGGATTCTTGAGTCTGAGCCGTGTTTTTGACGTTCTTGAAAAAGATATAATCGTTGAACATGTGGCTTGAGGCGCCCGTATCCCATATTGCTTCAAACTTCGGGTGTACAAGATTGACTTCGTTCCCGTAGGCAACAAAAACATAATTTTTCTTTGATGGGGGTTCAGGATTGTTGACAACTGTCGTATGATTTGCGCCTGTAGGTTGTATGGGCTGGTCGGGTTCGGGTTCATGTGCGACGTGTGCTTGTCAATTTGGCGGGTTGAGACCACGTTTTTCGAACCATTCTCGCTCGGCCTTCGCATTCTCTGGTCGTCTGAAGCATTTGGCCGCTGGATGTGGTCCTAGACAGTTTGTCAATGTGCATTTCGATTTTTGTGCGCCAGGTTTGAATGTGTTGTTGGCCAGTTTGAGGGAGTTGATGCCTTCGGTGTGTTTTTCTCCGGATGACAGCTGAAATTCCTTATTTTCGTCTTCGTACCTTTTGAGAGCAGCGGTTACGGTTTGAGTGGTTATCGGTTTGACGGTTTGCAGAATATGACGGATTTCGGCTACATGAGTGTTGTGGATTGAGTGTAATAATCGTCTACCAAGGAGAGATTCATCAATGAATCCTCCTCGATTCAGAAATTCATTCTTGAGTTTGGAGAATTCGTCGAGGTGAGTGGAGATCGAGGTTTTATAGTCTTGCTTGAATTGTTCAATCTTGTTTTGGAGTAGGTAGATATTGGCTTTGTTATCTGATTGGTGAAACTCTTTAATCAATTCCCATAGGTGTCCAGGGCGTCGACCCATTGCGGGAACTAGTCTACCGGGTGTTGGTCGGGCTTCAGGGTTGGCCGCGAGTTCTTCATCTGTTGGTGGGATCATTTCTCGGACTAGGGGAATCTCAACATCGAGCAGGGATGCTCTGAATCTTGCCGCGTTGGTTTCGTCCATTCTTGAGAACAGAAATTCCAGTATGCAGTTTCGATTAATGTGATTTATTCCTAATTCTACTTCATAGTCCTCGTAATGGATGTCGGTTAGATAACTATCGAAGAATATACTGTTGAGTTGTCCCATGACTTGCTTTGACCACGATGTATAGTTATTGTTGGTTAAGTCGTCAATTCCTTTGATTTTGTTCAGCATCGAAGACATGGCGAATGCGTGAGCCTGATCTGCTCCGAGGACAAGTCCTCCGCGATTCGCGGCATTCTTTGCAGCAGTTTTCTGTGCAGCTCGGTTTCTTGCTTGTACTGATATTGATCGTTCGGACATTTTGATCTCTCGCTACCATGTGATTTTTGTTAGAATCCGAGGTACGATCTTTTTATGACAAGAACAATACGTTAGATGACGACTCCGACGACTCTTAGTTTGACCACTCAACACACCTTTTTATGACAAGAACAATACGTTAGATGACGACTCCGACGACTCTTAGTTTGACCACTCAACACACCTGCGGTAATGCAGAATTTATATTTTTATTTATTTTTAATGTTAATGATGGATGGAGGACACGCGCGAGTTTGTAATCAGTCTCTTCTCCACTTTTTAATTGAATAAGCGTGTACATTTTATTATCTGATCATGAGTGAGAAAAATGATGAAGAAAAATAGAAAACAGTTTTTTTTATATGTATAGCAAACCTTTTTATGACAAGAACAATACGTTAGATGACGACTCCGACGACTCTTAGTTTGACCACTCAACACACCTAAATTAAAGAGATATACAGAAAGATAAAGAACAGTTAGGAAAGGAAATTTAACAGTTAAACGCTTATGAGTTAGATAAGATGAGAAAACAATCATACCTGCGGTAATGCAGAATTTATATTTTTATTTATTTTTAATGTTAATGATGGATGGAGGACACGCGCGAGTTTGTAATCTGAGAAAAGAAAGAAAAGAGAAAAAGAGATAAGAGGAAAAGTTTCAGTTTGATTCTATATCGGGAAGTTGAAAGATTTGTGTTTGAGATTTGCTTACCAGTCTCTTCTCCACTTTTTAATTGAATAAGCGTGTGGGGAAAAGACTGGTATCGGGGCGGTTGGAAAAAGTTTTATTGGGTCGGGGGGAATGGTGTGTTAGGTTTGTTTTCGTGACATTCAGATGAGAGTGAGAATTGACATTCTTGCTGCGTATTCATAATGAGATGTTGCGGCGAATAATTCAACAATTCACGGTCCTGCGGGCGCGCCGACCGCCCGTTGCGGTCACGCCGCCTGCATGTCTGTCATCGGTCTCAAACAACATGATCTTCTATGCAGATTAACTGCACCAAGGTTGACACATGCTGTGAGAGATCACTCAGACAAAAAAAAACCAGTCCAGACTGTGCTCGGAGTCTTGGGGAAGTACTCAAACCACCAAAACGACTACCTCCTCAGAGGACTTGAAACGGGCCCCCAACTCCCAGGCTTGACAAGCGGTTCTTCTCACCGCTTGACTGTAGCAGATTGATAGTTTTGTCTGATTCTCAATCCATAATACTGCATCATTGCTTTTTTGCAATTTTTTTTTCTATAAGTCATTTTAATTTTTTTTTTTCAAGACCAATTTTC